GGCTACTACAGGCAGCTTGCTATAGCATTTGCTAGGTTCTAAGAAGTATTTAACTGACTGAAGTTTCTTATCTTAAAAATGAAATAGTCCCTAAAACAAACACTCAGACTCAACAAACCTGTTGTTTGTCCTGCCAGAATGAACAGGAACACTTGCATTAGAGCTTCATTGCACATGGGTTTTATGCAAAATTAGCCTTGTGTGTGACAGTTTTTGTTCTGTGCCGCTGTGGCATATGGACTTGTACAAGCACTAGCCTCGTCTAGCAAGTGTTTGGCACAGACTTAGCAGTTCTCCTTTTTTGTGTTTCCTGAATTGCTGTCAGCTTCATGTGCAAAGTGGCGGTTGGACAGGTGGAGGGTGAATACCAAACCAAAAAGTTGTTTGAATGGCAAAACGTGTCATGATTTTTCCTTCATGAAGGTGGCATCTGCTTAAAACTTCACAGGATTAAGCAGGGCAGCCCTAACATACACGCTGCGTGCAGGTAGCGCATTCAGCTGATTCTCTCGCCGATAACCACGATAAAAGATGTTGATAAAACTTTTTCCCTAGAATTTTTTCCTTTTGTCTAAACCAGTTTTCTGACTTGTCGTGAGCTAATTAATATGCACAGATTTCTATTCCATGGACTTGAGTGAGTTCATTCCAGAGATAAATTTCTCTTGAAGAATGATAAAACAAAAACACCGAATTGTGTTGCTGGTGATAGATACTCATCTCTAACAGTATTGGGCATGATGATAAAGCAATCAAAGCATCTCTTTTCTTTTTTTTTATAGTGAATGGAATGGCTCCACTCATGCCTGCTCTCAGTGATGTTGATGAATATTAACTTGTCATTCTGAAAAACCAGAGGCACAGCCTAAAATCATCCTCATGCCTTTGTTCTACAGTAGAATGGATGCACCGTTAGCTGTTACATGCATTTTAATCCAAATGTGCTTGCTGCTAGGACAGAAGAAAATACAGGACGTTGGTTTTTGCATTGCTGAGAGCCATGGATCCTGTTTGATGCATTTCGATGTGACATCCAAGACAGAAATGGATCCTTACAAGCTGTTAGGTGTGCTCATAGGATGTAGGAATGCATTTCCTATTGCTTTTCCCCTCCTCTCCCTTACTGTGATGGGGACAGAGCGCTTGGCAGATAGTGCACACAGGCAATCAGACTGTCAGCTTTTGTAACTTATGGCTGTCATAGGTGAGCTTACTTGAAGTTTTTTTCAAGGCAGTTTCTTACCAGGGTTTCCCACCAAGATCATAGTTCGCAAATCTGTATTTCGCCTGCCTTAAGCAGAGAGATCAATTTGTTTTGTCTTCTCAGCACAGTACAGAGAACAGGAATTGTAATTAATCTTAATCTATGCTCTGATACCATCTCACTTGAATATTTTTTTTGTCCACTTCTAAAAGGTCAAATATTTTTGCTGACGTTAAATGTGTTATGAGGTCAAATAAATGAATGCTTATTAAATGCATTTGCAGAAAGCTGCCTGCAGCAGGTAATTTGTGTGCGCGTGTGTGTTCATTTCTCTGTTAGATAAATGCAGTTGTAGTATTTCTGGTTTTACTCGTTGTTCTAGAGCATTGGTGCTTAGGAGGCCTGGATGGAGGGGTCAGCAAAAAACAAATTAAGGGATTGCTTTTGTATTATTCTGGTTGGGTATCATCTGTGTCTCGATTTGGCTTTGAGGATGCCTATGGACTGCTTTCTCCAGCTGTTGTACTGCAGTGCTGGGCAGCTGATCAGAAGATAAATGTTTGTCGTGACGGTATGGGAGGGAGGTAGTAACAGTGGCTGGGGGATTTACCTATCCGTGCCGAAGAAAAGGAGAGAGAGAGAGAAGGGATTGCACCATTTAATTGCAAATCAATGAAATCTAAGGTTTAGACACAGTCTGTTTTCTTGTTCAGGAGTTTGGGTAGTGATTGCCAGTCCTTCCTCCTGCTTTCCTCCAGCTGGTCTGTCCAGTGTAATCTGTTCTTTCAGACAGGGCTTGGTGCTTTGCCTTGGAATCCAATTGTGTTTGGCCCCAGAAAGAGCACACTTAGTCTCCTGCTTCCTTGCACTTGGAGGACAAGATACATGGCTCATAAATTCCAGGCTGCGAGATCTGTTACGGCTGGGATATAGCATATCAACTACTGAATCAGGGGCTTGGAATTCGGATATGGTTCTGTTGTCTTGTGACTGTAAAGGTGGGCACTTAGTTAGTTCATGAAGGCTGGGAAATGTTACTTTTAGTTACATCTAATCAGCAGAAAATAAGGAAGTATTCTGCTTGGTTTTGCATCTTGTTTCTGCCGTGTTGCAAACAGAAGAGTTCAATCCTCAAAGTGTCCCTCACCTTGGAAGGGAAAACAATGCTATCTAATGAACAGCTAATTCTATTTTGGCAAAATTCTGGTGCAAATGGAAAACTGGGGCAGAACACAGGTGAAGACTGCCTGACTTCTCTTATTTCTGCAATTCGTGTAAAAAATCTTGCTGAAATCCAGAGATGCAGCTATATACTGAAGAGCGCACAGGCAGTCTGCTTAGCTACGGGTTGGCCAGATAAATTCCTGGTAAGACCTGTTTTGGCTGAACAAGAGGAGGTTTAGCTCCTAACAAGCTGGAAGGTGAGCCCTTCTGTGTCAGGATGGATCTTCCAAAGCTCTCACTGTAACTTTAATTGGAAAAGGTTAATCTGATTAGAGTTTGCAGAGCGCTTTAAGGATGAAAAGTGCTATGTAAGTGCTGACTGTTATGATCATGATAGATATGCTTTCTCAGCAGTTTGCAGGATGAGTAAGACTCTTTTTCTTTTCCCATTTGAACGTAAGGGATCTGCCTTCTGGAGAGCAGAGGAAAAATATTTCAGAAAAAAATGGGTATCATGTCTTCCGGGTGCCTGCCTCCTGTTGAGCACTGTGCATGGTCATGAGACAATGAACCTTTGACTGCACCAAACGGCGCCCAGGTGAGCCTGTGACAACCCTCCAGTACAGTGCTTGCAGGAACTGTTTACTGGAGAGTTGCAGATAGCGTGCCTGGCTTTCAGGGATCCTCCAGCTCATGGAAGGTTCAGTGGATAGAGCTTTCAGAAATGCTGAGGCAACTTGGATACCTTGAATCTTCTTTTTTTGACAATGACGAGAAGACTTAAAAGCAGAAGTGTTGAAGATGGGGTTTTCCATAAATGGTGCTTTGGTACTGAAGTGGCGAGGTTTTTTTGCAGATCTCGCTGTCTGACGGTGATCACACACGAGGCTTTCCAGCAGACAGCAGTAATGGATTCACAGTCTGAGTTTTGTTGTATTCAGTATGACTTGGACAGTTTTGTCACAGTGAGGTGTTTCTGACTGATGCTAACGCTGGGAAAAAGACATCGTTCACATAGGATGCTTGTGAGCTCCACAGGACTGCCTCCTACAACAATTTTCTTGCGTCCTGCGTTCAGTTCCCTGATTGACTTTGTGGTTTCCATCCTGCTGTTTTAATGGTTTCCCCTTTAGCAAGCCAGGGAGATGTATTTGCATAGCAGTTCCCAGTCCGTCGGTTCTCTGCAGCGTACCCCGAGCCGGGTGCGTGGCTGGTGCTGTCTGGGAAGGCAGGTCTGCGGAGCAGCAGCAGAGCCAGCTTAACACGCAAGCTCCGGGGAGCTATTTTAGCAGCGTAGCAGCTTAGTGACCTGGGCTGGTTTTATTCTAACCTGGAAGATTATCAGCTGTGCTTCGGGCAGGTTACTCATGCCAGCTTAGAGACCAGCTCTTAAGCTCTTGTACTTTTCTCTTTTGTCCACTTCAGAAACTTCCATTGCAGGTCAGGTGTGGGGTTTATTTTGTGGTGGGGTTTTTTTGCGGGGAGTGGGTGGGGGGGTGGTGGTGTTCCAGTATTTGATACACAAAGTGCAGACTCACAAGCTGAACAAAATCATGTTTTATGGAAAGGAAAATCCTCATGGGAGGAGCAGCCAGAGTTCATGATTAGTTTCTAGAGCATGCATGCACGCCATGTGTCAGGGAGGGAGGGGAGCTGCTTCCCATGTCCTTTATGCTTCTTCCATCCTCAAAAGAAACATTTGTAGCTGGTAAGGCTTATAGATGTGGGATCTGAAAAACTGATTTCTGCCAAGAAAGAAAGACCCAGACTTGAGCTGCCTTGCAGGTTCTGTCAGATGATGTCAGATTGTAAAAAAAGGTGTTTCCATCCTCAATAGGATTTTTAACTGTCTCTTGCTATCAAGAATAGTCTTCAGAGTCTGCTCCTGCTTTGACTGCTGTCCGATGTTCTGTGGGGAAAAAAAACCCCACCCACACTAGAGTGCAGTTCATAGAGTAGCTTCTATCTTCAAAGGTTGCAGGGAGTTATGAAGGAGAGTGTAATGAAGTAATCCTCCATTTCCCATGTGGAATCTAGGGCAGAATGGAGAGAAGAACTGGTTTTGCGACTCATGTACTTTCCTGGTGGCTGGGGAAGCCTATGTCCAGCTCCCAGCTTTCCCGCGGGTTTCCCGGGTGTCGCATCAGTGAGTCACACAGGACAGCGGCTGGCAGGGCTGGCTCTGCATCCCGGCTTTCCCCGGCCGACAGAGCCCGGCTTCTCCGAGGGATGGTGCGGAGCTGGACCTGACACATGTAATTCCCCAGAGGTGTGTAGGAGACTAGGCTTGATGAAGGTCGTCTTAGCGTCTTTGCTCCTCTGTAGTTATTTCCAAATCCATTAAATGTTGGAAGAGCAAATAGAGATTGCGAGTGTTGGAGCGATAGGAAGATGTAGATAACAGAAGCAGGAAGATGTGAGAGCGCTCAGTGAGTCAGTGACTGAGCTGAGAATAAAAATCTGACCTCCTTGATCGAACCTGCAGACATCACGCTTGTCTTCTGGTTGCTCTGACTCTTCCCTGCTCTCTCAGTCAAACCCTAGATAATCCTGTGGGCTTGGAGACCGTTGTCGCCATTGTGAGCTGAGTGTTCTGTCTGTTGTTTGTTTTTTTTTTTTTTTTTGAACTTAGGTGTGTGTGAAGCCCCCCGTTCCCTCTGCCTGAGCCTCCTCCTCTGAAGCAGTCACCAGTGTGTGGAGCCTGCCCCACACCCATCACCTGCCAAACCACGGCCTTTACCTGTGTCTTTCGGTGTTTCCCGTGCGACCCATCCTGTGGGAGTGCCTCCTGGGCCACCCCAGAGTTCACGCAGCGCTCAGTGGCTCCAATGGTGAAGATGACAAGGTCCAAGACTTTCCAGGCATATCTGCCTTCGTGCCACAGGACCTACAGCTGCATTCACTGCAGGGCTCATCTTGCCAACCACGATGAGCTCATTTCCAAGGTACGTGCTTGGCCTCACCCGCAGGTGCTGGGCGGACGCCTCCTTCCCGGGAGCAGAAGGGTGCGTTCGCTTGCATCGCAGGTCAGCTGCTGTTGGAAGTGCCTGGCCTTAACCAGTACCGCAGTTGGTGCTTGGAAAATGGGCTCTCAGCCTAAAGGATCTACTTGTGAGCTGCTGCTTTTGTTTTAAGTGAGCTTGAAGATAGCTGTAGGGGACAGGTTTGCAACTTCATGTCTCTGGAGTGCTTACTGGTGATCTGTCTCTTCCCATGATACCGCCTCGTTCCTCTCATTTCCAGCTGTAAAACCACAGTAACTGATGGCCAGGACTGCATGAATTACCTTCGCTGTGCTTCTCATTCGTGTACATGCTTGTCAGCATAGTCGAAGGGTTGTTGCATGATCATGATTTGGAGGTGAGGTAGTTGGAGACGTTCTGTGTTAAGATCTGAGCTCTACTGAGCGACTGCACTAAGGCCCTGTCCTGCTTCTAGCAGCTTTTCACAGAAGCCACCCCTATAGCCCTGCCACTACCAAAACCTTGCCACGCAAACCCACAGCAGGTCCCTATTTATGGGAAGGTTCTCTGCTTCCACTGAAATTCAAGATGGCTTTCCAAAGACTGATAACGAGTTGTTGCTCAGACCCTCGTATTTTTGCCAGTCTATTAAGAAGCCACTTCACAGTGAAAAAGCAAGGGAGGGATGGTAGGCTGTGCTCTGAGCTGGGGAGAGTGGAAGGATTTTGCCCTGTCTCCTGATCTGTTGATCACAAGGGGAAGGATCTTGAGGATAAGCTAAATTAAAAGCTTTCAGAGCCAATAAATCAGGGGCCTTTTTCAGAGGGAGCAGGCCAGTAAGAGGATCTTTCTTTAAAGTGCGAAAACTAAACTTTCTCAGAGTGTTTATTGGAGCCTGCAGTGCCTGGCTGTGGTCAGGCATCACATTTCCAGGTTTTGGCTGCCTTGGTAATCAACTGTTCCATAAAGTTTATTCAGCTTATGAAATTTGTGTTCAGAAAAAGCAGACACACTGTAAGATTTATTAGCTGAGGTGAGAGGAAATTGCGCTGAGCTCTGTGCCTGCGTGTGCACAACTTAAACCAGTTCGGCTTCTTGGAGCGGCCTTGAGAGAAGGGCCAGGATCACAAGGGACAGAGGTGCTCTGCCTGTTAGAAAGTGTGTAGTGCCTCTCCCCCTTCCTGTTTGCGTGGAAAAGATTAGAAAGTGTCACCTTGCACCAAGGGCATCTGTCCTTACAGGGTTGACATCTTAGCAGCTGTGGAGGTCACTTTGGATTCTCTGTGTTGGGTGTTCAGACTTGTCGTCTTCCACTGGAGGCTCTCTCCTTCCTGTTTCTGTTGGTTGTTGGGTGGACCAGGCTGATCCACACCTCTGTGGTGTTGTATCCATGCCAGACAATAGACTTGAAGTATTGTGGTGTGAATAATACTGATTGCAGACTGCTACAATTTTGAGTTTTGCAGTTTCTGAATAGACAAGTGTGCTATTAGGCTGTCACTTGTGAGTCATTCTGGGCTTCGCAGGGGCTCCCCTTGTTCTGGTACAACTGCAGTGGTTCTTAGCAGAACTGTCCTTGAGGACCGCAAAGCCTCGAGCTTTTAAAGAGCAGGATGTTGCGCATTTCCTCAACAGAAGGAAGTTTTGAAATGTAGATGTCAACAGCAGTCTGTGCCCAGGTCTGGATGGGAAATACATTCGACCTCTTGGATCAGCTGTGTGACTTCGGGCTCCTGGGCTCAGCTGAGATCTCTGTAAAATGGTGTAGTCGCTCCCCTGCCTCTTCACTGGGAGAGCTGTTACCAGCTGGATTTTGGTTGGGACACAGAAGATGGTTTACTGGATGAAGAAGGAGGCTTGTTTTTATAGCAGATTAGCATTTGTGCTCTGCTTTTTATTTTTTGACATAGCTGGTCCTCAGCCAGGGAAAATACAAAGCTGTGCATGCCCAGTGGCCTCACCTTTGACACTTCCTTCCCCTCCATGTTCATGTCCATGATCCATCTCATCCCCTAGTTTTTTTTACCAGCTTTGCAGGTCAGTAGCTTCCAGCAGGGCAGTGCCAGTGCTGCAGACTGCTTGGAATTTGAGCTTCCAGCCGTCGAGGCATGCAGTAACTACCCAAGAATGCTGACTGCTAAAATGTGGACACAGGGGGGAAGGTATGAAAGCACAATGTGAGGCTACGTGTATTGATTTATGGAAGCACTAACTACAGCGTGCTGTGGTGCTTGTATCTGCTCGTTCTGAAAGTTCATTGTAGATCATGGTGTAAATTTGTAACAGTGTTGGGATCGCGTTGCTGGTGGAGCACTAGCAGGTCATGCAACTTGAATGCAAAGGGTTTGGGGTTTTAGGTTTAATTTCTCAGAGTTATAAACCTTAATAAGATACATTCTTTCTGTAATTGAAAGCCTTATAAAAGTAATTGTGCAATCATAATTTGTACAACTGGCTATTAAACTGAGAACAGAAGGACAGTCCATGCCTCAGGGGGTTTCCAATATGTGTAGAAACTTTCCCAGGCAAACTTAAATAGTCGTCTTTTTATCTGTTTGAGTTAGGTTTTAAACATCTCCCTGAGGCCTTCTGCAGTTCTTTGATCACAGCCTTATATTAGCAGCTGAGAACCAGGCAGCGCAATTGTCACGCTGGTTTTCCCTACGAAAATGTGGCAAACGGAAGGAAGAAATGAGTGCCGTGAGGAACGAAAAGGGAGTGGGAGATGTTGTCAAACGGGAGTGTTTCTCGGTCTGCAGTTATCCCGTCTTGAACCTGACTATGTCACTCTATAATCAGAACAGCCCAAATGACACCATCTTTGGAAATTTTCCTCAGAAAACAGGCTTTTATGTAACAGCAGGGTGTTGGTGATTTGGCTTGATGAAACTAATTCCTCTCTTCCTTTTGCCCCAAGTTGTGCAGAGACCACATGAGAGCTGTGCTGCTTTGCATGCCAGGAGCTTTTAGCTCCTTTGGATACGTACAAATTGCGGCACTGGCTCATGCCGCTGGCTGAAACGCAAGCTGGAGCTGAATCCCAGTATTGTTCTGTGGCAGTCCATGCTTTATTTCCTCTTCATCTCCAAGTTTCCCTGCTTAGCCCTTCAGCACCAGTGTTAACTTATTCTGACTTCAGAGTGTTTAGCCAGGATTGGGTATCCAAAACTCTTGGAGAAATATGCCTTGGCGGGGCAGTTTTTGTTTTCTTTTTCTGCTTAAGAAAAACCTCATGCGTTAAAATGGGTAAATGGTTTCTCAATAAGCCATTGCTGTTTAAAGAAAATAATCGATGCCGAGGCTTTTAAGAAAATCTGAAGCTGTTACATGAAGCCAGCTACCAAAGTGTTGCCTCCTTGCTTGGCCTTTTATCTTCTGCAGCCGAAGGGAGAAAGTGACTTAGTAGGTCTGATTTGTAATAAGATCTAAATTGTGGGTTGGATTGTCTGGCCAAGAAAGGCCTTATTGACTTAGGAAATATAAGGTGATCAGATTGGGTGGAGTAACTAGTTTTCCATTATATGTTCCTTTGGTGTCTGGGTTAGCATGAGTGGAGGTTCTTGCTCCCTTGTAGCAATGCATCATTTAAAAATCTGTGCCAGATTTAGTACATACTCTTATTTCATTGCTTTTTCCAACGCCTAAGTGGACTGAGACTTTGGGAACTCAGCCTTGCCCTGCAACAGACTCCTGTGTGACCTTGAGTAAGTCATTTAATGTCTGTTCCTCCTTTCCCCACCTGTACAATTGAAATGCTGCTGTTTCGTCCAGTCTGCTTGGAAGATAAAGCTTTGGAGCAGGTACTGTCTGCTCTTACGATTGAGTACAGTGTGTCCTACTCCTCTTTGGCTTTACTGTAAAGACAAAAATACTATGCCAGGTGGCTGTGGTTAAAAAGCATATTTTAATGCCTTCCAATTGCCAAAAAATAAGTGAAAGATATCTGTTGTTACATTTATCCTTCCCAGACACAATGTGGTTTTTAAAATGTTTAAGAAAGATATATGTTTGATAATCAATGGAGGCAAAACCTCTCCAGAAGCAGATAAGAGGGGCTTTTCTTTAGAAATGTGCCTTCTGCATCGTTTTCTAGTAGGGCCTGGGGGAACAGCTAATGTAATAGACATTCAACAGCGTAAATAACATCTTTTCTCTTTCTCAAAGTGGCAGATGTGATGCTGGTTTCTACCTGCTCTGTGCCATTCAATCTCTTGGTCAGCCTTTTCGGTTTGAGTTCATATGTATGTGGTGTCCGGTAAAAAAGGATGGGTGCAAGAGTGGAGAGATACAGGCCAAACACAGCCCCATCAGTGTCTTGGTTGCTGACTTTTTTTTCGCTGTGCGAACAGTAATTCAGCAGAAGTGTCCCTGATCGTGGAAATATGTAGGGAATGTCGTGTGGGCGTCCTGCAGTTTCTTTTTTCATGAATTGCTGTGATCCAACTGCTAAACATTATGCAGTGATGTATCCTCTGAAGTTAGCCTAAGGCTTGCCAAGGAAGCTTAATATTTTGCTTTGATGTCTGCACGGGACCCTTACTGAACATGAATGTGAAATCCTTCAACACAAAAGGCTGCAGCTCCTCCAGCAGAGAGAATTTAGACAAAATAGAGAACTTGTGTGCGCCTGAGTTTCTCGGTTGGGGTTGGATTGTTAGCTAGGGACCACTTAGAAGCTCTCTCCTCTGTCTTCTCAGACAGGAGATGCAAGATTTATAAGCAAATCTTATTCCTAGTCATTGTGGCCTGTCTGCTTCCCTGGCTAGCAGACTGCCGGAGCTTGAGCCTGTTGGTACGACAGCCTCTTGGTGAGCTTTAGGGCACGCTGAAAGCATCAGACTTTGTTCCATGCTGCAGCCGGGGGATCTTAAAAGAATTTGAGGCTTTGGTGCTGGCTTTCAGATAAGTTATGGATGAACTCAGCTACTTTGAAGCATTTGATGGACCCTGTATAGGTGAAGTGATCAGCAATTGTTGGGCTT